GTTCAAATTTCATCTCGAATCTTCATGAAAACAGCTTAATAATCTTTCTGTAGTTCGTTATTGAACTAAAATCTACTTGGGTGATACCAAAAGTAGTAAGCATCGCATCTTAATCTCGTATAAATTGCTTGGAAAAAATTTCTTTTTTATGAGCAGATAGAGCGTCTTTTGCTCTATCTTTCTATGCTATTTGATTACTATTCAACTAATATCATAATAATAAAATTTCGATAAGATTTGTTTCTTTCGCATGTGTCCTGATACCATGAACATGAATGCTCATGGGTATTTTTGAATAACGTTTGATAGCAACAAGATAGAGAACTGCGCTTTTCATCGTTGGAAAGGGGATATGAAGGCACATCGAACTGCATATTACTGATTTTTCTAACCTGTTTTTTGTAAGGTTTTCAGTTGACCTTTTAAAGAATAAATCTATCCCGTGAGTTATTTACAGTGAATGTTCAATAATCAGGTTCACATTGAAACCGCTAATCGAAGATTTACAAACTACGAAAGACTCAGATGTTTAAATTTAATTCTAACTACGATTTTCTATAAACTTTTTTGCTTTTTCTTTTTTTCATAAAAAAAAACATTTTTTCAACGGTTAGAAAATTGAATAAAAAAACCTCAGAAATCGTATTAGAAAAATCAGTAATATACAGTTCGATGCATCTTCATCTCCTCTTTCCAACACTGAAAATCGCAGTTCTCTATCTTGTTGCTATCAAACGTTATTCAAAAAGTACTTATGAGCATCCATGGTACCAGCACGTATGCAAAAGAAACAAATCTTATCGAAATTTTATTATTATGATATTAGTTGAATAGTAATCAAATCGTATAGAAAGATAGAGCAAAAGACGCTCTATCTGTTCATAAAAAAAGAAATTTTTTCCAAGCAATTTATACGAGATTAAGATGCAGGCTCACTATTTTTGGTATGACCTAAGTAGATTCATAATGTACGTAAACGCTAATATAATCAGAATGCATCATAAGAAGTCTTCATTTGCCTAGAACTGCTGGAAGTTTATGGTTGAGTAATCAAGGAACATTTTGGTAACCGATGCGTAAAAATAATTAATTTCTTATTATGAATAGTGTTTCTAATAAGAACAAGAGCAGTATTTTTAAAAATTTTATCTCATCTGCATTTTAATTTAAGTCTGCACCGTGAGATAAATATTCCATCGACTGAAGGGAGGGTCATATGAAATAAAATAATTTCGTATTCTTGTATACTTGTCATCGAGTCAAAGATCAAAGGTCAAAAAAACATGTTCTTAGAGAAGGTCAAAGATTGAGGTTTGATCAACGGTGTTCAGGGTTGGGGAATCCGAATCGGTAGTTTGATCTTAAAAATGTTGGACTTGATTATCTGGATGAAGAAAAGGATGTTTTGAGAAAACAACGATATTTTATAAAGGTTGACGAAAGTAAATAGAGGTCGAAGAATCCGAATCTGAAGTGGGTTTCTCAAAATTTCAAGCTCTTGTTAGGTTGCCAGTTCACCGACTTAAATGTTTTTGGTTTGTGACTATGGGTATGTCAAGCTTTTTCCACTAGTAGTAATTTAATGAGTTCCTAATTTTTTTCTTACTAGCTGATGTCGTGAGGAAGGATTGATGTGTAATCACACATTTTCTGTGATAATAATGTGTCATCAGTGACTTTTTTAGATAGTTTGCGTTCTACCTTAGCTGATGAGTTGCATCAGATCAGCTTTATTGTAGATTCTTTTATCTAGATATGCTTCTCGAAGTAGATATATGCCAGAGAAAAATATAATGGATAGAATCTCATTCATGCAAAAAACACATTCAGGGTTCCGCCAACATTCGAATACACATCACTAATAATTCTGAAACTCAAAGCCTAGTTTTAGTCGACCCGACATTAACGTTATTTAAGTCTACACTCATTATATTTAATTCTGGCTAAGTGTTCAATTATTGACATATTTTTTCAGGAATTCTCACTCGTGTAATTTCTATATAGTCAGCATACCGCGAAAAAGCTAATATAAAAAAGATATTTGAAAATGAGATGACAACTTTTATGATAAAGGCAGAAAAACCAACTATTGTTTTAATGTATTCAAATAATCGAGTGAGTGACCATGAGTGGCGCCGTCGAACGATTGATGGCTAATACTGCAAAGGCTCTCTAATTTCGCTTCAAAAAAGATCTATCTGAAAGCTAGATTTATTAAGAATAGTGCACTAAGATTTCCTGAATCAGGAACTCTTATAAAACTCTAAACTTTCAGCTAGACAATTAGGTTTTACAAATAAAGAATAGTTAATAATAAAGTGTCGGTTCGGAGCTGCTCATCGAGGATTCTCGCGTTATAAGTCTAACGATTTTTTCAAGTAAGAGCAGTCTAGAATTTAATATGGTGTAAACCAAAGAGGACTATCTCAAGGAAGAATCGGATTACACGTGGCAGTGGCAGTGGCAGTGGCTAGTCACTTGTCGGCGCCCCTACGGGGTGCCACTCGTGGCTAGCCGCTGCACTGGAAAATTTTCTGAAGAGCCGCTTTAAATGGTTGGGATCCATCGAATAAACGTCAACAGTCGAAATCTAGTAGGTTTGAATACAGACTAGAAGTTGTTAAGAACTGAGAAATATTTTGAAGTGAAGTGCGAGAACGGCTTTTCTTTAAGGGCGCAATATTCGATTAGTACATTCAAAGGAAAACATCACTCAAAGAATTCATATTTGCTGTATCAAAAGTAGATATGAATGAAGTATAAGGGAGTTTTTCTGTTGGTGTGTGTTCTTGTCTGCGTTCATTCACATGTGCATACGTATACAGGCATATTCAGACTATCTCTATAGTCTGACGGCTACTCGGAGTACGAGTTTCTTTCAAGCATGATATTCTGATTACAGATCAGACATAATATGATTTATTTTAAGGTAAAAGTTCAGCTAAGATTCTATTTTCTAGCGGACGCTCTAGTAAACAACATTGTCAGCAGATGGACTGGTAAGCATACGAGTTTCTAGTAGAATTTTTAAAGTATGGCGTGTTTTCACAATGGTGTCGCGAACGCGTTTTGCTTCGTGACCTCTCAAAAAATTAAATATAATCTCTTTTTTTCGAATGCGTGCGGATACTGCTGCCGTAACGTAGTTCATTTAGATTTTAGTGAGAATTAATGTGTGGATATCAGTTTAATTAGATGAATCTGTGACAAAAATGATCACACAGATCCGCATACCATTATGGATGAGGAAACTGATGCTAAAATCAACTTCTACACGCTTACCCACCTTTTTGAAACGTTGGATACGAGCTTTGTTGAAGACTATAAAGCAGTATATAACACTATAGCAGCTGAATATTCAGTCGAGGGTCAAGTGAGTCACACGAACGAGCGTTACTTGTCTTTTAATTGATAAGGAATAGTTTTTGTTTCAGAAGTATATCGAAATTTCAAAGTTCAGATGGAAAAGTCGGCTAATTTAGTTATTTTAATTATTGACAAACTAACACTGATTGCTTTTTATTTTTCAAGATAGCTCAATGTTTTTTGTATCATTCAATGCAATAGACATTTCTATACTCAAAAATATAAAAAGATCTTCATTTCCATATAAAATTACTTTGTAACAAAGGAGCTTCTTCAAACACCCACGATAGCTATTTTTATTAGAAAGATTGACTGTACCAGTGTTCTATTTGCTTGGATACTCTTAAAAAGTATCTAAAAAAAGCAACATATCATTGTTCTCGTATGAGAATACCAGAAGCGGTTGGTTATAACCCAGGTCGATCATTCTCTGACCGTCTGAAACGACGTTTTAAGTTGCCTAAAACGGTGAAAAAGCGGCGTGATTATCGCCGTAAATGATGAAAAACAGTGTGAAATCGACAATCATCGTGACGACAGCTGCTTCTCACCGTTTTCAAGTGGTTTATAGCAGTTTACGAACCGTTTTACACGACATAGGAAGACAAAATATGATTGTACATGGGTTTTTCCATTTAAGTAGAAAACATACCACCAAACAGTTATTTTTCTGTCTGTTATATGACACAGATATCGTCATTATCATACCAAATATTACGGACCTTTTTCTCGTTCTTCTATTAACACATACTATTGGGATTTTCCCATACGTTATTATGTATCATACAGAAGAGAAGACCGTATATATACTATCAAGCAAGCGAGAAAGAATAGAAATTTGTTCTTATCTCATCTTTACATTCGTTGGCAATGCCGAAGAATTTATTGATTATACCGGTTTTATTTCTCTTGATTTTAATCACTCCACACAACACAGCTGCAAAGTCCGTGCATCAATCCACAAACAAGCTTGAAACAAAACGTGCAATTGCATCTTCTGTTGAATCGAACTCAGATACCTTCACGTATCTAACAAAGTACGGCTACAATTCATGTGAAAATAAAAATGGATCAAACAATAGCAATAAAAAACCAGTTCATTGCCAATCAAACTTAGAATCAATGTTAAAAGACTTTCAAAGAGGATATAAATTAGCAGTTACTGGAAAACTTGTTCAGGAAACATTGAAATTGATGAATAGTCCTTGATGCGGTGTCAGAGACCATCCACTTGCATATCAACTGGCAAGTCCATGGTAAGATTATTCAATGAATATTAAAAGTAGTGTTTTGCGATAAATAGGAAAAAGCTGATGTAATATCTTATGAAATTATCTTTTATTCATTAATATCCATTTATTAATTGTCACTAACCCAAACTCAACGTTATTTGTACTTGTTTTCATCGACTTAAACTTTACTCTCATGATGCTTACTGAGTTTGAGGAATCGAGATTTTTTTTAGGCCTAAGAAATCTTTTACATGGAAATGGGCTGATAGAAACTTTCCACGTTTTGGTGGAAGAACAACTAGTGAACAGCTTCGAGAGTCATTTAATGACTGGACCAAGTACGCACCGATAACGTTCAAAGAAGTATTACAACATGAGAAGGCCGATTTTAATTTGGCTTTTATGAGTAATGACGATTCTGCTGCTGATGGACCAGGTAAACTTTTGGCGTACGAATTTTTTCCAACTGACGGAAGGATTCGTTTTGATCCGGGAGAAACATGGACGCAGAAGTAAATATTAATCTTTGAATAATATACACAAAAATTTTCTCGTTAGATATGACAATAATGATGCAAATTTTCGCCTTGTAGCGACTCATGAAATAGGTCATGCTCTTGGACTAGAACATTCTAGTGACCAATCATCAATAATGGCGCCATACTATAAGCTCATGCAACCAGAAGCTCTTCTTCCCGAAGATGTACGTAACAATGTTTCATCTAGACAAATATATTAGCTAATAATGGATGAAACATTCTGATTTTCAATGACTTTCAGGATCGCCATGGTATTCAAGCACTATATGGGACTAAGGCTCCGTCCGCAGATGGTAAGTTGACTTAGCGCTAAGAAAATAACAAGAAGAAGATAAAGGTCAGAATCCAAACCTAAAATGTGATTTATATCACATTTTAATTTATTTCTGAATGTCTCTTTCTTTATGTAATGATTGAAAGACAATAAAGATCAGAGGATGTTTGGCATGATGATCATTTTTTTTGCTCACGATTTTTTTCCTTTTATCTATTGGAGATGTGTCAGACGTGTGGGATGCAAATACATTGTTTCTTTGTAGCAGGGCACACACGGGCGCCGACATCCCTACTTATAGCCAGACCCAAATTATATATTGCTCTTATCTAGTTTTTGTCAGACACGAATCAAACTGAAAGCACACAAATATACTGCATGCAACATTCTTATTGAATGAAATCGCTTTCCGTTCGAGCATATTGTATATTACGATAGAGTCAAGAATAGATAACTAGTTATCCTGAACCGATTTCGAATAACGTTATGAAAATGTTTTTCAACCTCTTTTATGATATCTTAGAGTATGGCTTCACTCAATTAAACCATAGATTGTTTCCTAAGTAGAATTACAGAGTTTCTTTCCAAGGTGATGGTATATAGACATTCTTGTTCGATGAAAATGCAGGGTGACTTTCGCTAATAAAACAATTTGATTATCTTCTAGAGTTCACCGAAGGTAAAACATGAGGATGTGCTGCATGGTGTCATGGACAAGGTAAATCATGTGGAGTATGCGGAAACGGCCATACATGTATTTGTTCAATGAATGAATTAACAAAAGAAGACATAGGTAAAGATAGCTAAAGAGTTGTGAAATACAAAGGATCGAATCATTCATTTACCAATGCTAGGAGACGGCTGTACAAGTGATGTATGGTGCAGAAATCGTGGTTATGATAAGGGTGGTGTTTATGGTGATGATTACACATGTATATGCGGATCAACTGCAAATCAATTAACGGTTTAGAACATATATTCGATCCACTCGACAAGAACTATCCGACGATGGAGATTAAGAGAAAAATTTTGTGTCTGCTCGCGTCTTGCCTTTCTGATACCTTACATTTACTGCTGAAACTTGAGGGTGTGAGTTTGGTGGATGGATGTGTGCAGTGTGATTGCATGTGATGCCAGTAAAAATTTTAACATTGTTGATCTTCGTCCCTTTTTTGCAAGAGATCATCTTTTCTCACTCTCGATTAAATTTATTAGCTTTTCTTTGCCTACTCCTTCGTTGTGGTATCTTTTATGCTATCAGAATTTTGTTAATACGATGCACACTATATAGATTTGAGTATTCAATACCGTTCACACTTGTAAAGAACTTATCGCTAATACATATTTTAAGCTCTATAATAAATACAACGATTTAGCACAGAAATCCTCTTTACATATGTGCGTTGTTACATGATTTTGTTGATCATTTTTCCAAGTAGAAATGAAACAATACTATTAAAAATATATACGATGAAAATATAAGTCGCAAATGATCAACTGAAATTTGTCTAGTAAACGAAGTATTGAAACAATATTGTTGGAGTCATTTTCTTGCTCTTTCTTGTGATAATCAAAACGTTACAATTGTTTGAACTGTAGAAAAGAAATTTGAATTTAACGAAAATTTGTAGCAATTAATGAAAACTGCTCTTATTCGAGACTCTTTTGAATCATATATCGTGGAGAAAACTAGTTTTACATACGTTTATGATTCAAGTTAAAAAGAAGGGTTGATTCTATAATATTCTCTAATTAAAAGCTGTTATTTTTTCTCAAGCTATTTTCTTAAGAGGACGGTAAAAAGATTTAACGAAACTATAAACTAATACTTGGATAGAACGTACTTGAGCGAGTATATATACATACATTTACCAAGTCCATGAGCTAAGGAAAAGCATGAGAAACTTAGCACTCCAGCATATGAGCGCATGCTCAATACTCCACAGAAGAGGATGGATGCTTTCAATCTATATCGCTATCATCGAAAAATAACAGAAAGAAGTGTGATGGTGTAGTGTATAGTAAAATATGGTAACTTGCTAGTTCAAAACAGCCTACACATACAGAACGAAAAACACTCTAACGGTTATGTATTTGTCACTATCACATAGTGCTAATGAAAGTTTGAACTTGTTTTTACATGATCTGTACATAGCTTCAATGAGTTAGCACAGTGAAAGTTTCATGCCAAACGGATCAAGTTTTGGTGATATATGAATATATCACCAAAGAATCATTAAAAAAGTGCTTTTTTTGACTATGATATGCTGAGAAAATTATAAATATCTCAAGAACGGAATGATATTCTTTCGAACAGCTTGCTTTAAAACTCGTAAAACTCTTCTCTCTATAACACATTCGAAATTGAGCAAGTTCGGTCGTGACTCATATGTGCTGGCTGTTATAGTCAGCTTAATTTCCATTTTATCTGTTCTTCATTTCTTATTGAATACAACCATTCAACTTTTAAACGTTAGTAACTTAATTTCTATCAAAATAAATTTATGTACTAAAAGCTTTTATCGCACGGAAGTTCTTTAGAATAATATTAATGTGAGAACAGGTAATGTGAAGATTCTATTGAATAATTATGCTGGTGATTCATTGAAATTCATTGATAAATTCAGTTTCGCTTTGAGTTTGTCGACTCTTTTTAATTAAAAATTGTTTTTTTTAATTTATCTAGACTGTTAAAACGCAAAGAAACTTTTCTTCAAAGCTTTAAAGATGTATTTGAAGAGTATCTGAGAGAAGATGAAGAAACGACAAATGAAAAAGAAGAACTTTCAACACTAAGTAATAATGAATTCGAAAATGTTTTTTATACATATCAACGAATATTAAAGCTGTATCATCTACGCTAGTAATGTGCCATATCTGCTAACAATATCTAGGAGCTTGTTTTGAAATTTCAAATACCTTTTAAGATTTTGAGATTTTCTGTTTCCCATGTCTGAAGTGTTGTTTTTTTTTCTAGGAATGCTGTCTACTTCAAACATTATGTATTGCCTATCTCAAGAATATAAAAGCAAATGGTACTATTTTGTAATAATATGCGGAGAAGGAATATTATTATAGAAAGTATAGTTGACCTAAAAACTCACGAATGCATGCACTCCACATATAAAAATTTTTCTTTCTTGATTTTTATCAATCGCTTCCTAGAAATACTCAAAACTTATAGAACAATGAACGAGTAGTTTGCAGTACTTCCTTTAATGTTCTGCAAGCGTATGCATTATAAAACTCAACTATGCTGTTCTTTTTCTAGAACTGGAAATTTGTTGACACCAGTTAACAATATACAAAATGTCTACCCAGGACGATAATTCCAGCCTATGGATCCAACACAGAACAAGGCTATTTCCAGCTTATTCCAGCAGGTTCCTGCGTATTTTCCCCAGAAACTGCACGGACAATATTCGGAAACTGGAAGCAGTATTTCTGTCTGGAAAGCACAGTGCCGGATCCTTTCATTTCCGAACAAGTCCAGTGCCCGGAATCGTCTTGGAAAAATAACATATCCTCGCAAGACTTCTTAAGGAAACATAGCGTATTCAGTTTCGAACCGTTCAAAAACATGTCAAATGTAACCGAAGTAATCGCGGGAACGGTTGGATTTGATCCGATATTATCCAGGACGCTAACTCCGGCCTCAGGATACCGAAGCAACCGGCGGAAAAATCATCATATCCTACAGGAAGACACCAGAAATCGACGGAACATGGAAGCAGCATTTCGGTCGGGAATTAATTCGGATTTCTTCTCGATGATTTCCGACCGCATCCTACTGGAAACAGGGTGTGGGTGTGGTTTTTCGATAAGAACGATCCTGATACTAATATCAATACCCACACTCACACCCACACCCACACCCACACCCACGCCCACACCCGCATTTCTTAGATTTATCTTTCTTTTCCATTATTGATGGAATCTTGGTTTATTCTAGATAAACTATGTGATTTCCTTTCATCTGGATTTTCCTATAGTGCTGTTGGCCTACATATAGCCGTTAGAGGGTTCCGAACACATATATTGATATGTACATGTACACACAAAATAAACTACAAATACTATAT